GTGGAGAAGACTAGCCACTGGGGTGTTGTGGTGAGGAGAGTGATCTGTGGAATCACATGAGGCTCCTGCCTAGGGCTCGCAACCCTAGTATCGGTCATGGAGTGGCCTACGCAGCGTAGCTGATTGGAACCTGCCAGCTACAGGCTGGATTTGTGGTTGAAGGCCTCTACGACGGTGCACCCAGTGGGACTGTGATTTGGCTGGCCTGTGGCCGGGGTAGACTCGTCTAGAGAATCTAAGGATTCATCGTGAGGCCACGAGAAGAGGACCAGGGCTACTCATCGTGAGCACCGTGGAGCATCCCGTGTCTTCGGAGGAAGACAAGTTATTGTAAATAAGAAGTGTAGTAATAGCAACCCCGCGTGTGACTGTTTATATGTTTATTTATGGTGGTGGAATAATTATATATTTAATTCAGTGCAGTTTTATCCTTCCCCTTTAATTTACTTGCGTTACGGAACACACCCCTTGAAAGCCACTACTAACTTGGGGCCGGATACCCAAACTCTAATAACATCAGAGAAAGAACCCAGTTGCGACCCAATAGGGCCGTAACAGTCACTGTCACAGGTGGCCACTGTCACAGGTGGTCACTGTCACAGGTGGTCACTGTCACAGGTGGTGGTCACTGTCACAGGTGGCCACTGTCACAGGTGGTGGTCACTGTCACAGGTGATGGTCACTGTCACAGGTGATGGTCACTGTCACAGGTGATGGTCACTGTCACAGGTGGTGGTCACTGTCACAGGTGGTGGTCACTGTCACAGGTGGTCACTGTCACTGGTGGTGGTCACTGTCACTGGTGGTGGTCACTGTCACAGGTGGTGGTCACTGTCACAGGTGGTCACTGTCACAGGTGGTTGCTGTCACAGGTGGTCACTGTCACAGGGCGCCACTGTCACAGGTGGTCACTGTCACAGGTGGTCACTGTCACAGGTGGTGGTCACTGTCACAGGTGGCCACTGTCACAGGTGGTCACTGTCACAGGTGGTCACTGACACAGGGCGCCACTGTCACAGGTGGTCACTGTCACAGGGCGCCACTGTCACAGGTGGTCACTGTCACAGGTGGTCACTGTCACAGGTGGTGGTCACTGTCACAGGTGGTCACTATCACAGGTGGTGGTCACTGTCACAGGTGGTCACTGTCACAGGTGGTGGTCACTGTCACAGGGGGTGGTCACTGTCACAGGGCGTCACTGTCACAGGTGGTCACTGTCACAGGTGGTGGTCACTGCCACAGGGCGTCACTGTCACAGGTGGCCACTGTCACAGGTGGTCACTGTCACAGGTGGTGGTCACTGTCACAGGTGGTGGTCACTGTCACAGGTGGTCACTATCACAGGTGGTGGTCACTGTCACAGGTGGTGGTCACTCACAGGTGGTGGTCACTCACAGGTGGTGGTCACTGTCACAGGGCGTCACTGTCACAGGTGGTCACTGTCACAGGTGGGGGCCACTGTCACAGGGCGTCTCTGTCACAGGTGGTCACTGTCACAGGTGGTGGTCACTGTCACAGGTGGTCACTGTCACAGGTGGTGGTCACTGTCACAGGGCGTCACTGTCACAGGTGGTCACTGTCACAGGTGGTGGCCACTGTCACAGGGCGTCACTGTCACAGGTGGTGGTCACTGTCACAGGGCGTCACTGTCACAGGTGGTGGTCACTGTCACAGGTGGTGGTCACTGTCACAGGTGATGGTCACTGTCACAGGTGGTCACTGTCACAGGTGATGGTCACTGTCACAGGTGGTCACTGTCACAGGTGGTGGTCACTGTCACAGGTGGTGGTCACTGACACAGGGCGCCACTGTCACAGGTGATGGTCACTGTCACAGGTGGTCACTGTCACAGGTGATGGTCACTGTCACAGGTGGTGGTCACTGTCACAGGTGGTCACTATCACAGGTGGTGGTCACTGACACAGGGCGCCACTGTCACAGGTGGTCACTGTCACAGGTGGTCACCGTCACAGCTGGTCACCGTCACAGCTGGTCACTGTCACAGGTGGTCACTGTCACAGGTGGTCACTGACACAGGGCGCCACTGTCACAGGTGGTCACTGTCACAGGTGGTGGCACCGTCGCGTGATACCCATCACAATGCCATCCTCGTGCGGAAATGCCAGGACGAGACGCGTCACTCAGCGGTGGCACCGGTGGTCCAGCAGGCTGTGACTGGCCTGGCTGCGTACAGTGTGGCGGGGCTGTCCGTACTCACCTATACCTGTGCTTGCGGGAAGAGATTCAGCTCCTGGGTCTTATATGAAGCAGTGCTGGATTACATTCCTATACTACTCTCACACGGAAGATGTGCCTCTAAGTATGTGGTATGTCGTTGTCATGTCTCCTCTTTCTCTTAGTACGCGTTAATCTCGCGGCGTTGTATGGATTCTCCTGGCAGGGTTGAGCTTCAACACTCGGTCCCCGGTTTTCAACTCCAGTCTAACGTAACTTGCTTCTCCCATCCTAACCTAACCTAACCTAACATGCTTCTCTCATC